GAGAAATCATAAATTGTTGCATAGATCGATTGTAACATTCAAAAAACAAAATAGTATATGATATAGGATAGTCTAAATAATTTGCTAAGTGAATATTATCAATTGAACATTCACAAACGAAATATAGAAGAAACTTATTTTTGATAGAATCAGTTGAGTTCCATCCATGTAATGGATCTGGTCAAATAATGAATAATTTTGGTACATTATCATTTTCATTATTAACTTCATAAACAGAATCAAGAATAAATTCAATATTTTGCGTTGTCTCAAAATCAATAGGTGGTTCAAGTAAAACATGAGGAGGATTAATTTCACGCATTCGAATAATATGTAATCCTTCGGCTAGCTTTGCTTTTCCTATTACTTCTAAATATGTTCCAGGAAGAAGTAAAATTTTATCTTCATATTGATAATAGGAATAAGTTTTGATTGTTTTGCCTCAAAACATTCAATTGAAAATAATGTTTGATCACTAGAATCACTTAAATACATTGAATTCTCCAGTAATTCAACTGATAAAGTACAAGAAGTAAATGGTCACCAAATATAAAATTTTCCTTTTTCATATAAATGATGTAACTTAGCTTTGACTCCACGCCATACAATGGTAGTAATCAAAGGGATTTTGTAAAGAGCGGTCAGGGTTAAATTAAGATAGGAAAACCATGGTTTTAATTCTTTTTTTTGATCTTTTGCTCGAAGAAGTTCATTCAAAATAGAATCTAAACTGCATAGTTCGAATTCCATTGTATACATATGAATCGCAACAGTTTAGTCATGACTAAGATAAGTCTTCAGTGTCTCAGTGGCCTTTTTCGCAAGCCATATATCACGTTCAAGATTTCGAAAAAGTGAAGCTACTGTTTTCGTGGCTTCTTCGAGCGAAAGTATCATCATGCTCTGATATCCTTCAATAGGTCGAAGTACAATATTTGGATCACTGACATCATCTACGGTAAAACTACGATTTACTTCATCCGTAGTTGTTGAAGATGCAGATGTCATGTTGTCTTACAAAATCACATCAAATCGATATAATCAATGGTTAATACTGTAAACTAATCGGAAAAAGAGTATCGTAAAAAGAACTTCAAAGTGCATTTTACCTTCCTATCTTTTTACCATTTACTACTGCAGTGTTGTTGACACAGCAAACACCAGTTGAAAAAAAAACTTAACGAATGCTGTTATTTTTTGTTCGTAATCTTTGAAAATTTCGATTAAAAATACATACATTCATTGAAAGCAAATAAAATGGTTGCTTCACGATAGCCTTGACATTTACTATCTTAAGAAAACTTAAATCGAAAGATGTGTGAAGTTTTTGACTCAATGTGAATGCTAAATCATAGTAGTTCGACAACTGATGACAAAAAACTACAACATAATTTACATTTTATCTGAATAATTATCGTTAATATCAAAATTTTTAATGAAATAATGTTTAGTGAGTTAATATTTCCAATGACGTTCTAAGCCAAACAATTAACTTGTTTCGTAAAACGAAAAATGAATCAAATTCAAGAAGAAAATCATTCAATTTGATAGTAGAATACTAATATAAAAATCATATACATATTCAATAATTCATTTAAAAGAAGTCTTCTAATATCTGACATTCTTATTGTTAAAAACATTAGTTCTTTCATAGAATGGCAATTTCAAATTATCAGCCGGTTTCCATTTTGATAATCGTAGAACAATCATAGTTAAATTATAGTTTAAAACAAGAATCTTTCTAAAATAATCCAATGAATAATTCTATACTAAAGAGTTTCAAAGATGATCCAGTACTCGAAGTTATTAATCCAAATAAATATCATATTCTGATTTTATCATTTATTTTTCGTTTTAACTTTTCTATATTATTTATTGAATTTCATTTTTTAATTTTTTCAACAGTGGAAATTTATTGAATCTAATCGAATTTGAGTATTGATCAAAAGTTTTATATCACAAAGTTACACATAACTAAAAAATGTTTTGAGTGATTTCGCTGGCTGAAGGCACGCCATACAGACGCTTGTCTATTGTCAATATTCAACAGTGGTTAGACATTGTTGACAACTAATTATGCCAGTTTCAGAACAATTATTCACCATATCTATAAAGTCAAAACATTAGCATGATCAAATCATCGAATTATTTGGTTTATTTGTAAATTTTTAATGGTACTACGAATCGTGGAAATCGAAGTACCACAAATATAAACAGCATATGTACGAAACATGTATTGATCAACTAATGTGTTTACTTGATGTTCTCCTATTACTGTCATGTTATCATATTGGAAATTTAGATTTATGGAATGAAAAACTTCAATTATCTGATTACGGTATCAACTGGTGCACATAAAACATTCTGTTTTAACTGTTATTATTTGAGAGTCATCAAGATTTTCTAAAGATAGATTGTCGATCATCATCGATGACTTGAAAATTCATTGGCGTGCAATGATAAGAAAGATATGTTGATAAAAAACAAGTTTTGAGAACCAGATTTTGAAAAATCAATAAAGAAAAGATAGTATTTTGTTGTTTCTTCATAAGATGTATGAAAAACATTATATCATAAACAAAGATCTCGTTTTTCACTTTGATAACAAAAAACGTATTGAAAATAGTGCCGTTTCAAGTTCCGATATGCTGTGAATGAATATTCTGTTTGTAATTCTCGTAATTGAACGAATTTTGAAATTATTGAATAATTTGTATAGTACTATTGGAATACTTTCATTTTTGTTTCTAATAGTTACTTTCAGCAAGCTTAAATTCTCGTAAGTATAAACTAGATATTTTGAAGTCTAAAAAAGGTTTTTACACCTATACTACTCGGATTCTTCATGATATTATTCGGTTGTAAATATATAGGAAGAAGTAGTATAAACGTTTGTATCGCAAACATGCAAAACTATGTCGAACTATGTTGTGAAATGATTCCAAACTTCAAAAACATGTAAATATCATCGGAATCGGTCGAAAACATGCAGAATAATCATTGTATACTATAGAAGAACTCACCAAATTAATCGAAATGTACTTTGCTATCACAGATTGGAAAATCTTCAGATTTTCTTGATGCAAAATACTGTGTCTAGGTTTCATCAATTTTTGATCTTTTCTTATCGAAATCAGTTCGTATATTTTCATCTCTAGTATTAACGACAAACTTGATAATATAGAAGATCCTTTTTTTTTAACTGTATATTGTAAAAGCGTCTAATAAACGCATAAACGAGATAAAATCAGTTCTAAATCTACATTTCCCTAAAGAATGATACATGTAAATCATTGATCTCATTAATACACATTTTGCAAAAGTTCCAAAAATATTAAATCAACAATATGCTCTTTGGGTTTTTGGTTGATTCGAAATATTTTGATTGACAGAACGTTTTTTTTACCAACTTAGATTAGGTCAGATAGTATTTTCTATTGTTATCTTATATTTGCTTTTCGCATTAGATTTTTGATGTTTCAAGTGGTTTTTTTTATTCTGTACTTTACGTACAAAAAAAAAAGAGCCAACGGTAATGTGGATATACATTGAAATCATTCAATTTAAGTTTGTTCGGCACTTTATTCTAAGAGTCAAGAGAGATTCTGTTTTTTAGACAAACATATACGCACATATATATATATATATATAAATGTATATTCTATAAATGAATGAGCATCAATCATATTTTTTTCTTTATATTACCTTTTAATGTACTCTTTATGAAACAACTTTTTTTCATATATATATATGTATATATCGTCTATAGAAAAAGAAAAGACAGTAGAGAATTGATCTATAAATGATAATTGTTTTCCTTTTACATACAATTGAATTTCTATTTGATAAATCTTACATCTGTAGAATGTGTGACACGGTAGAAGTGTTTAAAAAAATATACTTTTCTTTCTTTTTATAATTATCTTCTACGTATTTTATAAACAAAAATGATTAAAAACAGCACATTGAAAAATAATATAACGACTACTGTTGCAACATCTGTAACAAATTATGAAACCAATGGTGCTATCATGTATATTATTATTGTTCTTCTTTGGTATTCTGTTGGTATTGTCTTTATGTTAGGAATGCAAATGTCAAATCGTTCAGAAGAAACTGAAGGTTCAGTTAAACGTCGAACAAGAAGTTTTATTCGAAATATCAATGATCATAATACTAAAAAAGAAATCTTAGGTGAAAATATTTATATAATAATAATAATATTCAAACATTTTATATCTTATTGTACTGTTTTTTTTTGTTTAGAAGAATTAGTTGATAAACAAAATCGAGATCGACTTTGGGATATTTATTTAGGTACAACCTTGAATACAAAAGATTGTTTAACTCGTGCCGAAACTGTTCGTATACGTCATATTAAAAAAAAATTAGCTACAATAAAAAGAAGTCATCATTTAATATACGATACATTATTACCTTCAACAAATGATATTCGTTATGTTCGTAGTCGTTCAGATTATCCACTAGATACATCTC